TAAAATAAGGTATAAAATTTTAATAAAATAGATAATATATTAAAAATAATGAATAATGTAGTTTCTGCTATGGAATATAGGAGATAATTGCATGAAGACAAATTGAGATAAAAAAAAGAACAAAACACTTATGAGTTATTTGAATAAGGTTATTTCATAATTTAATTTTTAGGAAAAAATATAAGTGTTTAAAATGGATTTTTAAAAAGTTTATATTTGAGTGATTAATTAAATTAAAATAATAATAGGATAGACTAAGTATATTTAAGAAAAGGTAGATGATAGTTAATAATAAGGAAATCAATTAAATGAGATGAAAAGATATGAAGAAGCTATAGCATGCTACGATAAATTAATTGAAATAAATCCTTTAATGGAAGAAGCCTATTGAATAAAGGTATTTTATAACAATCTTTCTAGGTAATGTATTATAAGCAATGTTAAGATATGAAGAAGCTATTTCATATTATGATAAATCGATTGAAATAAGTCCGTTAATAGAAGAAGCTTATCACAATAAAGGTAACATAGTTTTTCTAATAATCTTTTCAAGGAGACGCATTAAGAATTTTAGAACAATATGAAGAAGCAATTGATAGTTATTAAATTTATTGGATATAATCCTAGTTGTGAATTAGCTTATTACTACATAGGTAACATATTTTTATATATTTCTTTTCAAGCCACTTCACCAATAGACTTTACCACAAAAGAAGAATAGTTTTTTTAAGGGTTTTCTTTCAGGATCTATATCCTCTTATAAAAAACATTTCACTAAAAGGGGGCTATCTTTTTCAAAAAATATTTTAGATTTTTAATTAATCTAAATTTTTTCCACATAATATTTTCACAAGAATCATCAGTTAATATTTAAGAATAATTAATTTTGCAAATCTCTATCCTAATTACATTAGTTCCTAAAAATTTAACCATAATAGATTAGAATAAACTATTTACATTGTAAAAATTTTAGATCTCTCTAATCTAATATTTAAATCAACTATTTTTATAAATATAGATTTTGAATTGAGAAATCTTTATGTTAATCATTTTATGTCAGGAAATGAAATAATTGTTTACTCATGAATTAGATATATGGAAATTCACTTTCCCATAAATAAAGACAGTAAAAGACTTGGCTAAAAATGGAGAGTTGGTTGACATAATGATAAATTTCTATCCAAGATTTTATGGACTTGAAATTGTAAGGCAGATTTACTTTAATCACTTATTGGAATTCTTAAATTGTGAAACTTCTGCTCGAAAATTTTAAACAAAACTAACTAAGATAAACTTCAAAGTTCAATAAAAGACTTGTGAATTTTGACTATTAAAAATGGAAAAAACCTCTTTTAATTAAATTTGAGGAGCATAGTTAAACCAAAGAGAGGAATGGAGATATTAAAAATTTCAAAATAAAATATATCTAACAATTATTTCTATAGGATTGATGGTCAACTAAGGATTATGCTTAGAAAATTGAAATATAAAAGATAATATCATTTTATTCTTATTTATTCCAAAATACTATTTTTTAGATTTTTAAATTCTAAATATTTAACAAAAATGAATTGTTAAAATGAGAAGATTTATCTTATTTATTCCTTGTAACAATTGTCACAAAATTATTGATGTCTCATTCGATAGAAAATAAAAAAAATTAAATTAAAAAAAAAATAAATTATAGGTTTGAAAGCATCAAGATGATTTGAAAATATCCCTTTTTTGATAAAATTTTAACTGAATAAAAGATTGTTTGAAGATACTGACAATTTAGAGTAATTCTTTAATCAATAAGTGAAATGCTTGTTAACTAATCAAATATTAAGAAACCATTAAAATCATGCTTGTAAATAAAATATAGCAGACTATATTTATGATCAATGTTTTATATGTTAAGAATCTATACCAAGAATGTATTATATCATAATCTCATATGGATGGCAATAAATTAACCTGAATATTTCCTTTGTAAAGTTGAATTTTCTTTCCAGGTTAAATAATATTTGACTGATTTAGATAATAGAATGATAAAAAAATGAAAAAATAATGAAGGATTGTAAAATGTTATTTTTTTAATAATAATACATAATTCAATTTAATTAATTTATATAATTAATTATGAATCTTGATATTTTAAGGGATACAATAAATTCTAAAGCTAATAAAATAAAATGAAAAGCTTCTCTCAAATTATAATATTCTTTAGATTTTACAATAACAAATAAAAGATATAACTATTAAACCTAAAGATCCAATAATAAATAAGAAGAAGACTCTTAATATAAATAATATGAATAAGAAATATTAAATCAATAATTTTTACTAGTTTTTATTAAGATTACTAAAACAATAGTAATCAAATATATTCATTTGGTACCTTCAAAGTTCAATAACTATAACATCATAAAGTTTCAATTTATAAATTGATTTTATTACATTTTTCTGATAGTTTGTATAGAATATTTAATTGATTTCATCTGAACTTTTATTTGAACAAAAAATAAACCCGCAACAGAATTAATTTAATTAAAATATTAATTTTTGAGGAGAATCTATTATTCTATAATTTATGCCTAGATCTTATATTTATATCTTATTTTTAAGTTTTTTTTATATTTTCCTTCCTTATTGACTTTGAACTCATTTTAAAAATCTCTTTCTTCTAAATCTCACAAATAATTATAAACATGGCATGATTAATATTATTAAACAACTATTAAATTGATTTAAGTTGATAATCACTTTAGGTTGTAGTGTCATGAAATCTTAATTAAATTGAAATTAAATCCTACATCGTAAACTGATAATTAAATTTTTTGATTTCTTGTATTGTAATGACCAAATCTATACTATACACTATTGAAACGAGAAAGCAAACTAGAATTTTAGGATATGATGGACAATCGCTTTATTTAGCATCTTTATTTCAATTTCTGTTAATGAAGTCTTAAAGATAATGATTGTATGAAGTGATAAACTAACATCGTAATTGTGATATATGAACAAAACTTAGCAATTGCCAATAGAACTATATGATTTCCTAATTATTTTTAGATTGAATTTTTAAAAGTGATTATTATTTCTAAAAATCTAAAATATAGATTAGATAATATAATTTATTATATATTTTATTCATTAATCCTGTCTTTGAGTATTTTTGTCAGCTTAATTCAAAACTTCCTTAAAATTATTCATTATGTCGAATTTTATCTTCCTACTCTTAGGAATCTTAATAATTGATAAAAATGTTAATAAAATTTATAAGGTTATATTAATAGAATTACAAGAAATAGATAAATCGATATTAGTATGACCAAAAAACATTAATAAATTTATTTTTTAAGATGAATTTTTGTCTTAAAGCTTCAAATTTTCATCTAGAATAACCTATTCATTTTCAAACAAATGATTAATCAGCTAAAGCATTAGAAATGTTTAATTATGTGGCTTAAAGTTTTTAGGGGAATACAGATTTCTAAATTTAATATTAAACTTCTGATGTTTAATAGGGATTTATTGATCCTAATGATGATTTAAGTCGATTTCATGATGCAAATGCATAATTCTATATAATTTTAAATTAATAAGGTTAACTTAGTCCTTAAGATGAACATATGTATTAAGCTGTGTATATCTCAACTTATAAAATGGAAGGAAATTAACATATACTAATTGTTCAGGAATATGCAGATCCAAATTTATAATTAGGATTGGTAATTATCAAAAATTATAAAAGTATTTATTCTAATTGACATAAAAATATAATCTAAAAGCTAATTCTGTTCAATTATATGATCATCAATCAAATTTATTGACTGAGAATCAATATTTATGTATAGGAAACTTCATGAATTATCCCATGTTAAATATGGTTGTTTTGTATAATTAAAGTGTTCCATAGTAAGGCGTGGTTATCTCTATTTATTAAGCTTAAGATAATTAACATATAGGAATTGCTTAGTAATTTGTAGATCCCAATTTATAATTAGGATAGGTAATTATAAGAATATATAAAAGTATTTAGTCTAATTGACACAAAAATTTAATCAAACATTGAATTCTTTTGAATTATATGATGATTAATCAAAACCATTAACTAATAATCCAAATGAATATATAGGATAATTTATGAATAATTCTTATTTAAATATGGTTATTTTTTATCAAGAGTAAATTTAAACATATGATAATGATAATCTAATAAACGATTAGAATANCTTTTATTTGAACAAAAAATAAACCCGCAACAGAATTAATTTAATTAAAATATTAATTTTTGAGGAGAATCTATTATTCTATAATTTATGCCTAGATCTTATATTTATATCTTATTTTTAAGTTTTTTTTATATTTTCCTTCCTTATTGACTTTGAACTCATTTTAAAAATCTCTTTCTTCTAAATCTCACAAATAATTATAAACATGGCATGATTAATATTATTAAACAACTATTAAATTGATTTAAGTTGATAATCACTTTAGGTTGTAGTGTCATGAAATCTTAATTAAATTGAAATTAAATCCTACATCGTAAACTGATAATTAAATTTTTTGATTTCTTGTATTGTAATGACCAAATCTATACTATACACTATTGAAACGAGAAAGCAAACTAGAATTTTAGGATATGATGGACAATCGCTTTATTTAGCATCTTTATTTCAATTTCTGTTAATGAAGTCTTAAAGATAATGATTGTATGAAGTGATAAACTAACATCGTAATTGTGATATATGAACAAAACTTAGCAATTGCCAATAGAACTATATGATTTCCTAATTATTTTTAGATTGAATTTTTAAAAGTGATTATTATTTCTAAAAATCTAAAATATAGATTAGATAATATAATTTATTATATATTTTATTCATTAATCCTGTCTTTGAGTATTTTTGTCAGCTTAATTCAAAACTTCCTTAAAATTATTCATTATGTCGAATTTTATCTTCCTACTCTTAGGAATCTTAATAATTGATAAAAATGTTAATAAAATTTATAAGGTTATATTAATAGAATTACAAGAAATAGATAAATCGATATTAGTATGACCAAAAAACATTAATAAATTTATTTTTTAAGATGAATTTTTGTCTTAAAGCTTCAAATTTTCATCTAGAATAACCTATTCATTTTCAAACAAATGATTAATCAGCTAAAGCATTAGAAATGTTTAATTATGTGGCTTAAAGTTTTTAGGGGAATACAGATTTCTAAATTTAATATTAAACTTCTGATGTTTAATAGGGATTTATTGATCCTAATGATGATTTAAGTCGATTTCATGATGCAAATGCATAATTCTATATAATTTTAAATTAATAAGGTTAACTTAGTCCTTAAGATGAACATATGTATTAAGCTGTGTATATCTCAACTTATAAAATGGAAGGAAATTAACATATACTAATTGTTCAGGAATATGCAGATCCAAATTTATAATTAGGATTGGTAATTATCAAAAATTATAAAAGTATTTATTCTAATTGACATAAAAATATAATCTAAAAGCTAATTCTGTTCAATTATATGATCATCAATCAAATTTATTGACTGAGAATCAATATTTATGTATAGGAAACTTCATGAATTATCCCATGTTAAATATGGTTGTTTTGTATAATTAAAGTGTTCCATAGTAAGGCGTGGTTATCTCTATTTATTAAGCTTAAGATAATTAACATATAGGAATTGCTTAGTAATTTGTAGATCCCAATTTATAATTAGGATAGGTAATTATAAGAATATATAAAAGTATTTAGTCTAATTGACACAAAAATTTAATCAAACATTGAATTCTTTTGAATTATATGATGATTAATCAAAACCATTAACTAATAATCCAAATGAATATATAGGATAATTTATGAATAATTCTTATTTAAATATGGTTATTTTTTATCAAGAGTAAATTTAAACATATGATAATGATAATCTAATAAACGATTAGAATAATTAATAATAATTATAATAATAACATGATATATAATAGCAATAAATACAAACATAATAATAACAATATGCACAATAATAATAATAACAATATACACAATCATAATAGTTACAATATGCACAATAATAATAATAATAAAATCCACAATAATTCTAATAAGTAAATACACAATAATAATAATTACCATAAGCAGAACCATATTAATAACAAAATACACAATAATTATAATAAGTAAATACACAATAATATATAATACCATAAGCAGAACCATATTAATAACAAAATACACAATAATTATAATAAGTAAATACACAATAATATATAATACCATAAGCAGAACCATATTAATAACAAAATACACAATAATTATAATAAGTAAATACACAATAATATATAATACCATAAGCAGAACCATATTAATAACAAAATACACAATAATTATAATAAGTAAATACACAATAATATATAATACCATAAGCAGAACCATATTAATAACAAAATACACAATAATTATAATAAGTAAATACACAATAATATATAATACCATAAGCAGAACCATATTAATAACAAAATACACAATAATTATAATAAGTAAATACACAATAATATATAATACCATAAGCAGAACCATATTAATAACAAAATACACAATAATTATAATAAGTAAATACACAATAATATATAATACCATAAGCAGAACCATATTAATAACAAAATACACAATAATTATAATAAGTAAATACACAATAATATATAATACCATAAGCAGAACCATATTAATAACAAAATACACAATAATTATAATAAGTAAATACACAATAATATATAATACCATAAGCAGAACCATATTAATAACAAAATACACAATAATTATAATAAGTAAATACACAATAATATATAATACCATAAGCAGAACCATATTAATAACAAAATACACAATAATTATAATAAGTAAATACACAATAATATATAATACCATAAGCAGAACCATATTAATAACAAAATACACAATAATTATAATAAGTAAATACACAATAATATATAATACCATAAGCAGAACCATATTAATAACAAAATACACAATAATTATAATAAGTAAATACACAATAATATATAATACCATAAGCAGAACCATATTAATAACAAAATACACAATAATTATAATAAGTAAATACACAATAATATATAATACCATAAGCAGAACCATATTAATAACAAAATACACAATAATTATAATAAGTAAATACACAATAATATATAATACCATAAGCAGAACCATATTAATAACAAAATACACAATAATTATAATAAGTAAATACACAATAATATATAATACCATAAGCAGAACCATATTAATAACAAAATACACAATAATTATAATAAGTAAATACACAATAATATATAATACCATAAGCAGAACCATATTAATAACAAAATACACAATAATTATAATAAGTAAATACACAATAATATATAATACCATAAGCAGAACCATATTAATAACAAAATACACAATAATTATAATAAGTAAATACACAATAATATATAATACCATAAGCAGAACCATATTAATAACAAAATACACAATAATTATAATAAGTAAATACACAATAATATATAATACCATAAGCAGAACCATATTAATAACAAAATACACAATAATTATAATAAGTAAATACACAATAATATATAATACCATAAGCAGAACCATATTAATAACAAAATACACAATAATTATAATAAGTAAATACACAATAATATATAATACCATAAGCAGAACCATATTAATAACAAAATACACAATAATTATAATAAGTAAATACACAATAATATATAATACCATAAGCAGAACCATATTAATAACAAAATACACAATAATTATAATAAGTAAATACACAATAATATATAATACCATAAGCAGAACCATATTAATAACAAAATACACAATAATTATAATAAGTAAATACACAATAATATATAATACCATAAGCAGAACCATATTAATAACAAAATACACAATAATTATAATAAGTAAATACACAATAATATATAATACCATAAGCAGAACCATATTAATAACAAAATACACAATAATTATAATAAGTAAATACACAATAATATATAATACCATAAGCAGAACCATATTAATAACAAAATACACAATAATTATAATAAGTTAATACACAATAATATATAATACCATAAGCAGAATCATATTAATAACAAAATACACAATAATTCTAATAAGTAAATACACAATAATAATAATTACCATAAGCACAATATTTATAATAACAAAATACACAATAATTATAATAAGTAAATACACAATAATAAGAATAACAAAATATATAATAATAATAGTTACAATAAGTAGAATAATAATAATAATAAAATCCTCAAGTTTAAGTTAATGTTGATCAGCAACCATTGGTGCCACAATAACAAATAGAGCCAAAATAAAAATCTTAATAGCAATAAAAATAATAATCATAAGTAATTCCAATTGACAAACAGTAAATATATTTAAATAAACTTTAGAATATAATAAATTAAGGATTCTGTTGTGATTTTAAAGCATGTTACGCTTTACTTTGATCCTTTTGGAGAGTACATAATGTACAAATATCATTACCCGATATAATTGAGTGGTAGTATTAGAAAATCTTGGAGTACATCAACTGAAAAATTCATTTATTCTAAATATAAATGGACTAGTGTTCATTAAAATAAATATGAATATGCAGAACTTGATGAATATAGCTTTGGCATAAAATGGGAAGGAGGTAATGAAAGTCAATTAAAAGTGAAATAATTATGAAAATTCTATAATATGGAATATATTAAATAATAAGTATATTAGAGAATTATATTTTATACTTATTAGTATTTATATTTAATAATATAATATATTACAGAAACATCCATAATAATAATTCTAATATTTTGGTAAAGTAAACAATTAGATGTGGACTTCTTTTAATAAAAAATAGAAATGAATTAAAATTTAAAAGACTATATGTGTTCTATTTTGGAGATCATGAAAGAGAAACTGGATCTATATTAAATGGAGAAATAATTTTTGATGCTATAAACATAACAAGTATAGAAAGAACAAATTTAATAATATTATTCCGAAAATAAGGTGCTTAAATCTAATTCATTGTATAAGAAGATAAATTTTGATATCCTTTTCAATTTTTTTATCTATCAATAGTCTTTATGACCCCTAAAGCTTTCCAAAAGAAAACTAAAATAACTATAACCAGTCTTATCTGAATAATCAGAACAAGATGCACTCTTTAATGTACACATTATTTCACCTATTGTGCTATTTTAAAGAAAGCTTAGATTGTTGCAATATAAATTGAGGAGGATCAGAAGTATTTTTATTGCAAGTAATATGATTCAAAAGATAATCATTACATCAACAACAGTTTAAAAATTATTTTTAATACTATTTTTATAATATCTATATCTAATTTAACAGCTACTTTAGTCATAATATTCACTACATTCTTTGAAACACAAATCCCAAAAGCGAATTTATGCTCTATTATCTAACATTAATTTCATAAATTTCCTGTAATTATGTAGCTACTATTACATTTTATAAAATCACAATTTAATCCTTTAATTCAAATTACAAATAGAAGAAAGATTTTGGCTTCCTAAATCTATTTCATTCTCATGATAATTTATAATACCAATATTTTCACATTTTCCTGATGACCATAAGTAATTATTTATTTCTAGAAATAAACAAAACTATTATTTTCTAAAGAACTAAAATATTTCCAATCATTAAAAATCTAATCTTCTTTTTTATTAAAGTGTTTGTTTTCTTCATAAAAATTATAGGGTATCTCGAATAATCCATTTTTTGCTTACTAATTTTATCAAATTTAGATCCCTTATGAAATGATATTTAAACATTACTTAAAGCAGAAGAACTTTAATGAAGAAATCTAATTTGGAGTTACATTCGTTTTGTAATCTGCACACTTTTGTTCACTAATTCTTTTTATTTAACAAGAAAATGATGAATAAACATTTTTGCCTCTCATTAGCATTAATCCTAAAAATAGAATCCTGGGACGTATAAAATTATAAAATTATTCCACTATTTATTATGAATAGTTGACCTTTACGTTCTCGTATCCCTCTGAATTAAAATCCTCTCTTAAAATGCAATTAGGATTCCAAGAAAAATATTTTAATGATTATAAATATATTTTAGCTCGATAAATTACAGCTCTTGTATTCTAATCGTTTTTCAAACTTTTCTTTATTTAGAATTATCGAACCAATTATTTGTCCACTTTTGACATTTAATCTTATTTTTATAATAAATTAATGAATCATCCCAAAATTCTTTTCAAATATTTTTCTTGACAATCTACAAATTATTAAATATTTATTATACAATTTGGACTTAAAAATTAACAAGCTTAAATTTTTTAGAAAATTTATCTTAGTTTTAAAAATCATTCTCCTTTGTATAATTCAAAATAAATTTCAACTATGATAAAACATAAATCATAAAAATAGCCACACTTGAGATTGTATATGTTACAAGAATAAATGATTTTTGAAGTACCAATTTTTCTCTACTATTTCATTCCTTTCTACCATTATGTTTTTCTAAAATAAATAAATTATTAAAATTAGTCAAATTATATTTTCATATGCCAAAATCAATATGTTTTTTAATTCTATGATCAAATAATGATTAATCTTTTTATTCCAATGATTATTTTTGAACTAGAAAGATTAAGTTAATAAATTAAAAAATATTCAATTTTTAAAGAATAAAAAAATTGCTGTTACTTTTATAATATATTAAATAATACTAAATAAAATTAATAAAAATTAAATACTTTTTAATGATAATTATTCGATAAACAATAAATAGTAAAATGTATTAGAAAACATTTATAAAATAGATTTAAATTCAAAGGTTATTACAAATAGGTGAAATAATTAATAAGAAACCAAATTTAACCAATAATCATCCCTCTCAAAGTCAATTTGAGACACTTATGGTTAACTGAGAATTTAGTAAAACAATCCATAGATTCTATTGTGATATCAATTAAAATTTGAAGTTAAAAAATTATGTCTAAGTTTATTGAGGAAACATGTAAAATAAAATTGTATTTATTTTTATAATATTTTAATCTATTAATTTTTTGATTAAATTAGCTGAGATAATCATTTTCAAGACTGAGAAATTTTTAATCTAAAGATGATTAGATCTTTTAATTATAAAGAATTCTTAATTTAATATGATGATATAATTTTATCTTAATTCATTTTTAGTAGTACTCTTAACAAATTTATTTCTTTTATTATATTGAGATCAATTAATTTTCTAATATATAGTGAAATTAGGCTTATTTAGATTTTAACATTCATCCAAGTCAATCCGTTGTGCTCAAGATTGTATATTTAGATATAAGTAAATTGAAAATAAATTGAAATTAGACTATTTTGATTTTGTTCACCAAGTGATGTTAACTAAAATCTACAATTAAAAGAGATAATTAATATATTGGATGGTATGGCAAAATGTACGTTGCACCCAGTTCTCTTACTTAATCTAACTAAAGTTTATTTACATCGTAAGTTATTTAAGATCATAATAAAAATGGATAATAATTTACTATCATCTAAGAATGATATGTAATATAGAAAGAGTTATTAGAATCAATTGATATTCTAATAAAAATTATGGAAAAGTCAGATGCAAGACATAAAAAACATTTGGAATTAAATATTATCAATTGGCTATATTAGCATTATCAACTGCCTAAATCTTCTCTATATGAATAATCATCTACATTATAAAATTAACCTTTCCCACTAACATTATTATAAATCCATTCATCATCATATTTAGTACTATCTGGCCATATATATTCCTATTTCATCTCTTCGATTTCTTATACTCATCTTCATATTTTGCTCTACACAAAATTTTAAAAATAAAGGAAGTTCATGTTAATCTATTGCTACATCCTAATTAGAAATAAACTCTTCATAAATATTAGAAAACTTATGATAATACTAATTTTGTCATCCTTATTATCTCCCTGTCTTTCTGCAATTAATTGCAATTCGAAAAAAATCCTCACGTATTATTTTATATTCAGATGTCTTTATTCACTAACTTATTGTTCTCTTTCCTTATAAATATATAATTCTTATGTCCATGCTTATATCAAAAATAAAATTATTCATCTTATCATTATAAATTTTAGATTTATGAATTACTCTTAAGTAAAGGAAAACTTTATAATAAAGAACTTGCTGTTTTTGGAATCGTTGATAATATTCCTGTCTATTATTGTCACTATAAATTTCTTATCTTTTATCAATCTTATATTTATACACCGAACTTCAAATCTAACTATGTCATTATTGATAATAGATAACTCTTTATTCCAATGAGTTTAATACTATTCTAACTAAACCAATGATTGAACTCATATCAATTTGATTGATTAAAACTATGATGAAGTTTTAGATAATTGTAATTATATAAGATCATATAAAAAACAATATTCTGGAATTAGAATGAAATAATTTATAGAACGAAAAGAGTATTAATTAAATTTTTTATTCCTTTTAATTGAATATATCTAATCATAATAATCATTAGAATTATGGCAATTATTGTCTGCAAATAGGACAATTGTTTTATAAAGAGTTTATTCTTGATTAAATGTATTACTTAAAGCATTTTAAATGAAATATATGATTACATGGAGTTTAGATTAGTGGTCCTTCAATAAAAGATTGATATAATGAATCATTTAGAGTTCGATTTGAATTTAGAGGATTAAGGCATATTGAACATGCTTCAAAATCTTCTACAACGATGTTGTCAATTTTAAAAAAATTATTATCTTCTTATTTTAATTCATCATCTTAAGGAATATTTTAATCATCCAATTATTCTATGGGATTAACCATGCGTAGATTCATGCATATTAAAGATCTTGAGCCAAATTTTTTTTAAATTAACAAAAGAGCAATCGATGTCAAATAAATGATTAAATATAATACAACCATTAAGTATTTTGGTTCAAAACTCATTTAATTTTCTGAGTAACCTCTACAATAAAACTAACCATTAATCTAATATGAATACAAAATAAAATGTCTTTGCTGAAAAAAATCCAAAAATATAAATTATATTAAATTTCTCAATAATATTTAATCTAATATTCCTAATTATTATTGGATATAAAATAAATGCTGAACTGAACATTGAATAAGAGTGAAATTCATATAAAAAAAATAGGCTGAAATAACTCAATAAACCTATGAATTAAAGCCATATTTACAAATTATTAATAAACAACTTATAAATTGACAAAAACTTTAACAACAAGGCAGAAATGAAAATTTTACATTTTTTTCCCAAGCTTTCCAAGTAATTAATAAACAGCTCTTAATTGATACTGCTTAAAGTAATATTGGAGCTATATAAAATGATTGAACGCTCTAATTAATTTCATTGAAGCCTTACTTAATGTAAAGACATTGAAATTAAGATTAAGAAAAATATCTCTATTTAATACTCATAGTTTATTAGATTAGCTAAAAATGAAATCTAGAATAAATTTATGATTAAATTTTACATCATATCTATCTGGCAAGTTAACTCTTATTTATAATATGCTAGCAATTATTTAAATAAGTGATAATATTATTGATATTATCATGAAGGTCAAAGTACTTCTATATTCTTCCTCTTATCTTGATTCAGCTAAAAGAGATATATTTAAATAACAATCATCGCTTTATAAGAATATATAGACTTTTGTGTTTTTAATATCAGCAAATGATTTATCAAAAAGAATTTTTACTAAAAAATTCCCTTTGCAAGAAAAGTAAGACCCTTAGAATTTGGCGAATGTTTTAAATTGCAGGTAGAAATTTTATTCGCCTGACCAACTTCTATAAAATAAGTTTTTTTAATATTACTATGTATAATTATTGTAATTTGAGAGACTAAATGATAAATAAACTTGCTTATTTTCATGATATTTAGGATTTAAAAAACAAATTTCAAGGTAGTTATTGAATATTACTTCTGCTTATCCTTCTTAATAATCAAGATAGTGGAATTAATCCATTGAGGTAATTTCTGATTTCCAAGTTCCAATAAATTTTTAATATTTCAACAAATGGATCAAGTCTTATTCTGATAAATTTCTTTATTATCCTAAAACTAAAATAGTGTTCATCAATAAAAAACTCAATATTTTCTACATAAATTCTATAACTTAAATATTAAATTAAATTTTATTCTTATTATAAATTTTTATTGTCACATATATTTGACTGAGATTTTGTATTTTAAAAAAAGAAGGCGAACTTTTGAAAGGATACTTATAAATAAATTTATATTAATCTTCAAATTTTATATTAGATATAGTTATGGAAATTTAGAAAATACAATATTAACAACAACTCCAAAAAAATATTTAAATTTTGTTTTGAAATATTTTTGAATTAATCATTTTTTATATATTTTGAATAATTTCAATAATATTAAGAAAATAAGTTGAAAAAGTGATGTTTATTCTATTTTATGATGTCTGAATTTTGAAATAGAGAGATTCCTTAATTTTATTATAAAAATAATGAAGACAAAGAAATATTCATTTTATTATCAGAGTAAATTAAAATAATTATCAATATTGACAGGAGGAATATATTAAATGATGAGAAAATATGCGAAAACCTATGGAAATATTCTTTTTAATCCTTTTAAATGTTTAAAGCCAACCTATATCAATAATTATATGAGGCTAAAATTCATAAATTTTAATTATCTTTTATATCCAAAATCAGATAATAACCAATTTAAACAAGATTGGTAGGTTCATATTATAAAAATTAATTTGTTAAATAAATTCAAAATGAATCTCATTTTATTACTTCTTAATGACAAAAAAATTAAGAAGGCTGAATTCAATTAACTTGTAAATAATTTGAAGCTTGACTAAAGAATAAATAGCTTCATTTTTCTTAACAAAAGTTTGTTAATTAAATTGTGGTTTTGATTTTGTTATAAATAATTTATCAAACTTCTATAACTAATAAATTCTTAAAATATGATTATTTTTCTGAATTTAATCCTTTTAATTCTTATCATTAAGTTTATTATGATAACATTTCTTAATGATGTACGTTATCCTCTTAATTAAAATAAACAAGAATATGTCAACATCTTACAAAATTACTTGGTTAGTCATTGTTAATATTTGGAAAATTAATATGACAAAGGATGAAAATGAATTGTAAGCTTCTATTTTTAAAAAAGACAAAAAATCAAATTAAAGATTTAAGTGAATTTCATTTTAATGAATAAAAAATATAGGTAATAAATTTGTTCAACTCGACTGAATTAAAAAAGAAAACATTTATACTTAATAATCCAAAAGCATTATTCTTTTCAATTTTTTACTTATCATTTCGTCTTAATATAAATATATCATAATTGCTATATGGGATAAGCGAATTAAGCTATGAGGTGAGTTTGTATATTAAATTATTATATTCAATTTCTACTAAAGGTTTGATTTAATCTAAAATTGAGTTAAATGTTCCTTCCAAATACTGTAGTTTATGTAATTCTTTTCAAAGTTATAATTGATAATTAAATTACATATTTAATTATAAGTTTTTTTTAAATTAATCTTAAATTTTGCGGAATAATAGAAAATTAGTGATCTTATATTTATGTAAAATAAAAAATATAAAAAATATAAATTTTATACTAAATGAATTAAGCTTAATAATAAATATATCAATATTTTTAATATAGATTTTTTCATCTAATATTTCTAATTTAAATTTGATAGTCTCACATTCTAACATTTGATTCTTCATGAAAGTTTTATACTGCAAAAAATCTTTACTTATTCTGCTTTTTTTGATATAAGAATATTTATTAAAAAGTCAAGATTATAAAATTTAAGTGTTAAATTAAAATTATTATATTAACAATATTATTTAAATAATTTAAGATTAATAACATTTAATATATAATCAACTTGAACTTGTTTCTCATATTAAAATATGAAAAGGATTAAAAATATAGAAAAATTTACATAGCTTATGCCATATTTAAGATTTTATAAACGCAATTAGCATGATATTGATTTATTGTATTCTTTGATTATTATTATTGAATAATTCCAATTAAAAAATGAAAATCAAATACAATCATCATTCTACATTTTATGTTTGAAAAGCATTTTTAGAATAAGTTCTTGAGTTTTTATTTCGTTAGCATCAAACATTTTGAGAAAGGTGATAAGGGATGCATGATGCAGGTTAATTTTTTATAAAGAAAATAATATTAAGATAATTGAGGGATCTTTTGGAACAAAAATTAATAAGAAATATAATAACTATTTTATCCAAAATCCTTTGGAGTAAGTATGCTTTTTAATCAGACTGATGAGTATTTTTCATAATCGTTTAGCGACTTATTGATAAATCCTTCTACTTAATTTGCAACAGCATTATTTTGGTGTATGTTGGTTATTACATTTTTAATTGAAATTATTATCTTTTACTCTAAAGATTCAGTATAAGAAGTAAGATCTAAGAAATATAATTAATTAGATTCCTATTAATTAGATAATTTTAGTTATTTATACTATAAGTTTTTCATTTTTTAATTCAGGAACAAGTGCTATTGCAAATAGATTTGTGAAAATTTTGATGAATTAATATGTATTACTACTTCATGGCATTATTTACCTTTGGTTCATTAAACTTATAATGTTTCATTTCTCAATAAGAAATAACTGTAAGTGGAAAAGTATATTTAAAATTATAACTGGTTGCTTCATTAAGTGTCATTAATTCTTAATTGCTTAAGTTTTTAATATTTTCAATTACTTTAAAAAAAAATATTTTATTTGATTCTGCTATGCGCATTTTTAGTTAATATTTATGGAATGTTAATTTCTTGATTGAAGAGGAAGTAAATCTTAAAATTAAATTTTAGTTTCATAAATTTAATAATTATGATTTTGTAATTGGAGTTGTTTTTATTTATATATAAATCAGTATCATGATTATAAAAATACCCTAATGTATGTTGGAAGTATGTCTAAAAAATTGAAATATTTAAAAATCAATGATTTTACATGTCTTATTCTTTTTTCTACATATTTTCTTGTTATGATAAAATAGTAAATGGGTTGATTAGATCAAAATTTATTGAAGAAATAATAAGTAATCTCAATGTTAATTTTGCAAATATTCTTATTATGAGCAGATAGATTTAGTTAAATCAGACCATTAGATGATTATTGTATAAATCATTTTTTACGATTCTGACAACTGTAAGGCATGTGGAATATATGATTTTACTACAACCTATGCTGAATTTACTTTATAAATACTTAATAGAGATCCTCCTAAAATTAATTTAATTTTAACGCCTTTTTATTTTGTGTATGAATTCTAAATTCTGTTTCTGCTGGCAATTTAATGAAGATAAAACAACATATTAAATTTAGTAGATAGGTAAGAATACAAAATAATTATTATCCTCAAAATTAAACATTTCACCTGAAATAAACTCCTTTGAACAGTTTCTGGAAATATTTCAAAATACACATTAAGTCCAAATACAACATATATAGCTTAAATTTATTCCATGCTTATAAATTTAGGTATTTGCAATGAATTTGAATTCTCATTAGATCCAAAATTAAATTTTCGCAATTAATATTCAAGATGAATTCCATTTCTGTTTGCGCAGTTTAGAAATGAACAATAATGTATAAAATTTGAATAATCTTTTAAATTTGAATTAATTATTGTTTATCAAAATGATCATTTCCTTAATCAGAACTAGAATATAATTAATTTATTTAATAAGGAAAATTAATAATTATAAGTCTTTAAATTTTATTTTTCTAATTCCATCTTTTAAAAACTTTACTTATTAATTCTTCCTTTTGCAATTATATACAACTAAGGAAAATATTAAATTTAGAAATAATTTAAGAAAATAAAAATAAATTACGATTTAATGCCAAATAAAAATGAAATTATTCTTAAGAATAATTTGAAAATTTGAATTTAAAAAATATGTTATTAAATATATTCAACTTAATGGCTATCTTAATATAAAAGCATGGATTCTATTATAGCCCTAGAGAAGGACATGTTAATAAAAAATGATTAATAATTAAAATTTTATTATTATAAATCAATAAAAGTTATAATTAATTTTACATTATGAATTTTTATAATGATAATCGAGTAGCTTTGAAGCAGATGATGAGGAGGAATAAATGATAAAAAAGAAAGCTGACTGTTACAAAAAAGGTAAAGAACTCGATACAGTGTAAATATTATTTATAATTTCAAAAAAGAGAAATAGTTCATGATGCCCTTTAGAACCCAAAAATATTTAATTATATGGATCAAATTTAAAACCTTTATTGGCAAGGTTAATATAGTTAAAATGGAATGAAAGATGGAAATTAGATTGCTTCTTTGGATTCAGAATATCTAAAGAATTTTGGTGGATACTACATATTGGAGGTCAGCAATTTATTTTTAAACTATGGATAGTTAAGCAAAAGTGTTTTAAACTGGAGAATATCTTAATAACTTAAGAATTGGTAATTAGAATTATATTTTTTGTGATAAGAAATTGTAATTGAGTTATTAATTCTTTCGTGGTGGTGGGTGGTATAAAGATGGAAAAAAATAAGGCAAATGGATTGAGTTGGATGAAAATTTTTCTATGATGAGTTAAGTGACTTATAATGGTGAATATAGTATGAAGTGTATGAAAGTAGGTAAATGGGATATTGGTTGTTGTGATTCTTGGAATACAGCATATAAATAAATGTAAATAGTATATAAGTATAGGTGAATAAAATAATATTTTAGTGGTGGTGGAACGTATGGTGGGGGAGTGAAGGATTAGATTAAGATTGGGAGATGAGTAGAATTGTGGGAAGAATTTTCTTAGGATACCTAAATTATTTATAATGGTGAATATAACATTAATGGTAAGAAGGTAGGTAGATGGGATATAATTTTTGAGGGAGAGCAAATGTAAATATTACATTAGTATAGGTACATAATATAAAACGTTAGTGGTGGCGGATCTTATGGTGAGGAAGACCAATGTTAATTAAAGACCGGGAGTTGGGTAGAATTGGATGAAAAGTTTTTATGGAAATATAATGAGATAGTCCATAATGGTGAATTTAATATGAAAGGTATGAAAACTGGTACATGAGTATAATTGGATGTAAGAATGAACTAAAAAATAGGTGAAAAAATTTATGATAATTGACAAAACAATTGAATATGATTTATATAAATTAATAAACAAAATAAATAATTATCTCAATGTATCTTAGGATTAATTTTTATTATTTTTTTGTGTGTAAAGTCTAATACTTTAATTATGTGATTTGAAAAGTTTATTTTTGAATTTATGTAGGCTCAGGATTTTTATTTATTTTAGATGTCTTTATATAGTATTTAGAATTAATAGTTGATGAGTTAAATAACTTTAAATTTTATTTAAGGAAATTGGAATTTTGATGTAAATTTTAACTTAATATGAATACCAATAGTTAACTTTACTTTTACATTTGCGTTATTAATAAAATTACTTAATTACTTGAGGTTTCCTTAAAAGGCAGGTCTCTTAGAGCTTGAGTATGGCATGGCCCACAAATGGGTGATGAGCCTCAATGGCTAATGGGGAGCTCCAAGTTATTGATGGAGTAGCCTCACCCATGTTTCTACTTAGCAAGATGGATCCCAGAACACTGCTATTTATCAAAAAGAAGGCCCCCAGATTAGGTTCAAGTTTTCTCCAATGATGGTTTATAAATAAAAAAAAAAATATGATAATAGTTAGATTAATTTAAGTAAGATTATATTTTTTGGAGCATGAGCTGCAACCTTTAATTTATAAATTACTTTTTGAAACAGCCTTAAAAACTCATTCTATTTTATATAGAGTCATTAAACTTAAGAAAATGGAAATAAGTGCTAAAAATGTTCATCATAAAAGTTAAAAAAATATAATGGGCAATTTTACCTTTAATGATGCAACTTTTGTATAACTTAAGTCATGCTTTCACTTCTAAAATTTATCGAAAACTCTCAAAAAAGAATTTATTTCTTTAGCATTTTTATTTATATAAAATAAAATGTAATTAATTCTATTTTAGGATTGTATTACCTAGTCCTTCTTGCTCTTCTTAAAATATATTAAAATCTCAAATAAATTTTATCAATCGTAATTCTACTTATATTAATAAAAAACTATTCTCTTTTACCAAAATGAATAATTTTAGTATCTTAATTTTTTTAAATATTTTTAAACAACCTTTTCTTTCTTAGCGAGATTGTTGTTTTATTTTCTTTTATAAGCCTTGAGTCACTCGATGATAAATATTATTATCACAAATATATTTAAACTAACCTTAAAGAAGAATTTAGTTTTAGTAAAACCAAAATTTAAATTATTTTATAGAATTGACTTTAAATAAAGTTGAGTTGAATCATATAATTTAATCATAATACATTTTATATAGAATTTTTTTAGATTTAGCCAAAATTTTATATCTATGTTTATAAATATGGTCTACAATAATTGTTTATAGATTAATCATTTTTATTCAATTTAGCTGATCTCCTTGTCCCTGTGTTAAGCTATTTTGCCATTGTAGTTTTGTTTCTTATTCATATATGGTCTTAATGTGTAAAAATTAGATTAAAAGTTTTATTGATTTGTGAATAGAAATTATATTATAGATGATTTAATAAGAATGTAATTATTAATAAGAATATATAATTAGAAAAATTCAACTTTAAAATCATTAAATAATTATGTCGTTTAGGGAAATATATATATCGCAATAAAAGATACAATTATAAAATGAAAAGAATTTTTAGGACAATAAAAAGAAATTTTAAATATAATAATGTTGAGTATCTTAGGTTTAGTCATATAATTAAGTCAAATGAACAATTTAACAATTTAAAGACGAATACTATCATACATAATTAAATTTTTTTTGAAGAAATTTATCATTAATAAGAACAAGAAATCTTTAAAATAATTGATGTTTTGAGCTAAAATCTCTTAAAATATTTTTATATTTCTTCAGCCTTCGCTTATGATTTAAAAGGGAATGTCATTATAATAAGTAGTTATCTCATAAAATATTTGGGAGTTGCAGTATTTCAATTTAATAATAATTTTATTGATCACTCTAGTTATAATGTAAAATTTAAATTATAATTCCCATCAATTAAATTATAAATTAGATCTGCTGATCATTTTAAAGATTTGCTAATTTAATTCTTTTTTTCTTCTCTTTCTTTGATTTTATTGGTTCTTATTGAATCTTATATAGATGTAGAGTATTATTGCAAATACTTTAATTTTTGCTTCTTTATTTTAACATTAAACTAGTTTCTTAATCAATTTATTGTTTATAATTTTCAATTTTCACTTATTTTGAAAATGTATGGGTGGTATAATATGAATATTCAGATAAACATTTTTACTGAGTAAACATTAATAAATGTAATTGTAAACAAGGTATTATAATAAATAATATTTTGGTTATTATTTACGATTATTTTGTAAATTTAACATAAACCAAAAAGATTAAATTAATTATTTTCCATAATTTATTTTTCGTTTAATAAATACTCCTACAACCCTTTTTTAATAAGTTATTTGTTATACTAATTCATAAAATAATAGCCTTATTATTTAAGATAATATTTAATTTATGATAGTATTTTTTTAATTAATTAAAGAATCTAATATAATAATATTTAATTAATTTAATGCATTGTTTGATGATATAAGTAATATAGAAATTTTGATTAATAAATATTAAATAAAATTGATTTTTTTTTAAATTGTGATATATTTTTATTTGAATTTATATCATCATTTTTAATTATAAGATGCCATAATGTATAGTTTATAAGTATTTAAAGCTGTGAAATTATTTGTTGATATTCATTATTAATTTAATGTCTTTAAGAATTATACTTAGCTTAGTATTCTTAAGTGTTATTAAGAGTCTATAAAGTAAAAATAGATGTGATTGTGAAATGTTTAGCAATTAAACTGAATGTGACAACGTACCATATTGTTCTTGGAGTAATTAAACTTGTGGTTTAAAGAATTGTGGTAATATAATTCTTGAAAGATGTGAAACGTTCTTCAGATGTTCTATTAACCCAGATGGAATATGTGAATCTACTGGAGATTGTTCAACATATACAGCCCTCACTTAAATAGATTGTATGTTTAAGCGAGGCAATTGTGCAGCTGAAGCTACTTAAACAAATGGTGTATATAAATGTAAATCCTATAATCCAGTTACCTGTGCTTCATAAACTTCAGAAAATTGTAAAAATAGTTTTGAAAATGAGAATTCCTTTTGCTGGCTTAATTAGTAAGGAAAATGTTAAAGTTATGACCCAAACACTTGTTCTTAAATTCCTCTTGAAATTTGTTCCAATTTAGGATGTGATGCTTCAGGTTCTGAATGTAAGGCATTCACTTGTGATACTAATTTAACTGTGAATACTTGTATTCTTGCAAGTGATGGATATTTTGGACCAAAAACACTTTGTAAATGGAACACAGCCATATAAAAGTGTGAAGAAAGATCAGATATCAAGGAATTAACATAAAATTAATGTTCACTATTAACAGATGGTGGTTATTATTGGTTAGATGGTTAATGTACAGTTTGCCCAACTGATGATGATACAAGTAAAGCGATTTTATTGTATTCATTGTTCATTATCCATCTATTAATGTAATGAGATATATGTTATTATAATTTGCCATATATAAAAATTTATTTCATAATTATGTTGTTTAATTTGGTAGATATAGACTTAATTATAAAATAAAGGGTTCATTAAGAATTATATTCTAATTCAAAAATCAATTATTAATAATATTTTGGTTTATTGACTCATTCATCATTCCTTAATACCTAATATAAAAAATTATTTTAATTATAATAATTTCCTAACGCCTAATTAATATGTATAAAATTTAATAGTGATTATAAATTAATAGATGGTGAATGATAATTAGTATCAAAATACGTTAATATTAGAATAATAATTGTATTTTTTATTAAATTTATTACCTAAAAAAAATAATTACTATCATTGTATTGATTGATTAAATAACAAAAATTGTTTTCTACTAAATTGATCTTTTTATACATATTACAAAAAGGGAAAGAGGAATGATAAAGCTGAATACTCCTCTACCTGGAATAATGAAGGAGAAAATCCAAATTTAATGTTCTTTGGATGCAAAAGGAAGAGAAACATCACCCTGTATGTAACTCAAATTTTAAGCATTTCTATTTGAGAGAACGGAAAAATACCTAAAATAGTAAAAATAAAATTACATTTTAACCAATCCACCATAATTAGAAACATGAAGGTATAGTGGAGTATTTATAAGAGCTTCCAAATTAAAATTACATAATCCGATCTTTTTATGTTCAGTTACAAATGAGAATTCCAATAATTATTGTATAACTTAAGATGTCATCAATAAAAGTATTGTAATTATATTAGAATAAATTAATTTTATTGATTGATTTTTTTTCTAATAAATAACAATCTAGATTATTAGTCATAGATTAAGAAATATTACAAGCTGCATCAACAAAAGTAATAGAAAGGGAAAATTTTATGTTAAATGTAAAAATAATAGAGAATATCCATAAATAATTTAGTAAAATTTTTATTAAAAAGCTTTCATGCCCTTAGAATAATTTATAAATATACCTTATTCTAGTTAAAAATAATTTTGTTCAACCTTTTATTATAATTTTCAACATTTGAATAATTGTTTAGAAGATTCAATACCTCTTAAAGTTAGAAATGATCGATTTAAATGACCTAAATAATAATTTAAATTACCAAATTGATGCTGCCATAAATGAGATTCTACTGTCTTTTACAACAAAACAAGAGATACAATACAATTCTTATTAATTTTAAAAAGATTTTCTGTCTCCTTTTACATTATAAATCTCTTATTCTTTGTATAATGCTCTAATATGCCTAAATTACAGAGATATTTCCCTACCCCCAAACTCCTTTACAAAACCTAATCTAAAGTAAATTTATTGATTAGAATGCATGTAGTATTAATATATTAAGAATTTAATTACTTGGAATCATTAAATAATTTGTTTAGAGAGGCATTCCTTATTCAATAATTGTAAAAGATTTAAGCAGTAAATTATAATTAAGCTATCAATTAACCTAATAGTTTGGGTCTCTATATTGTTGATAAGCAAAGTTAAATGATGAAGAGATTCTATAAGATTATCTCCAAATTATTATGCTTTATTAAATAGCAAAAAGGATTAAATAAAATTATTAAGAAGTAAAGTCTAAAATAAATCCCTCTTCCATCTAAAGTCTTGTTATTCGCAATTATTGGTTTGAATCATTAGATATAATTTTACGATTTTTCATCCTTAATCCAACATTTTTAATTAGTATTGCACCTCCAAAACTACTGATATTCAATATAAAATTTGAATCTCTGATTCTAATAATTTAATTAATCAAATTTTAGACTAAAAAATAGAAGCAGCCTTTTGTTTCTCACTATTCTAATAGCAAATACTATTGATTATTTTAAAAATTTTAAACTGTTCAATTTCAAAAGTGATTATTACATTTGAAAAGTCTGATCCAATATTATAAATCATTTCGATTTCTTAAAAAAAGAGAGAATTAAAGCCAGAAATGCTTTTCACATATATATCTTTTGATTTGATTGTTAATTAGAAGATTAGATCTAACTTATTTGCTCTGCAAAAATAATTATTAAGTTATTTATACATTCCTCCACAAATTACCAGCTGCAATTTTATTATTTATATCTGAAAAATAGGAATTCCATCCTATTTTTCTTGATTCAGTTTGATCCTAATTATCTTTAGTTAAACAATAGAAATCATTAATTCACTTTTTTAAGTTTTAAGTTATGTGTTTGAAATCAAATGAAAAAAATTTTTATATCTATGCTAACTTACAATCTAAATTTGAAATTTCAATTTGGCAATTTTCAAAAAATATGATAGCATTATTCTCTTTCTATAAATTTTCTAATTTAGATAATGTAATGAAGCCAATCAAGGAAAAAATTAAATCCACAATTTTTCATTTGAATAGTTTGATAAATTATTAATACTTATTGAGCTTTATTTCATCACTTATTCTGAACCACTATTGAATTCATTAAGGAAAGACAATTTTTTATTTTAATTTTAGTTAGATGAATAATATTTTATTTTAAGGAGGGTGTGATAATAAATAATGTTCTTTTCAAAATATTTGTAAATTTAATATGTTTGAGCTCAATATCTAAAAAGCTGAATTACCATTTTCTTTAAGATTAGTAAAAGCAGAATCAATCTTGACATTTTATACTTTGATTTTTCCTTATTTTTGAGTTATGATTTAGATAATAGAACTTTCAACAGCTATAATTTCTTAAAAAATACTTTCTAAAGAACTGAAAGTAGAAGCTACAAAATAAATTCATTAATTTAACATTTTAAATGTTGATTGAATAATTGGATTAATTTATTGTTGATTATATTAATCATGCAATTTAAAATCATAATATTATCACCATAAAGTTTATGGTAACACATTTAAATTCATGATTATTAAATTAGATATTTCAATAAAAATGCCAGTAACAATTATAAATAAAGTGATTGAATTAGTTAAAGCATTTTAATAACATTATAATTGATGGATTATAACTATACTGTCTAATGAACTTATATGTAATAAATTAGTTTAGGTACCAAGTGGATCATCTTTTTACTAATGTATAATATTTTGGGTTAACTAAAAATCAATCAATTTAATATTTAAATTATATTACAAATCTATAGGAACCAACTATCATGAAGTGGCTTATTTGCTTTTTAGTTATATATTCCCTATATATTATACATTTGCTAATATTATTTATCCTATTGAATCAATAATTATTTAAGTACTAAATCTTATATCCATTATTAATAATTAATACTGAATAGATTTAAAATTTCAGAGTTTGAAATTGATAATTATTGAAAACCAATAACATGCAATAGTTAATTTTTTAATTAGGATTGATTATTACAAAATTATGAAATGGAAACTTTATGTTCTTATTAAGAATTCTTAAATATTAAAGATTCAAAAAAAATCTAGTTGATTTCAATTTAATAGGAAGCTTTGTAGATCTGACTTATAGGTGTATTTTGGAATTATATAAAGGTAATATTGTTTAAATAATTAAGTTGAAAATATTAAGAAGTTGACTATTAAATAGTTTATTTTATTAAACTTTTACATTTTTAATTTTAATAATAAAACTATTTATTTAAAGATTAGAATAAATTATGATCAAACTTGATTCTTTATAAGCATTTAATTTAATTTATCTTCAAAATCAGCAATTGTGCATAAAACTGTTTAATTATTTATAATCAATTAAGTCGATAAATCGAAAATCTTATATTTTAACTTGTTCTAACACTCTTCAATTCTATATTATCATTAAAAACAATAATCAATGAATTGTTAAGATTGTTATTGTGAATGAAGAGGTTATCATCAGAAAAATTGCTATGAATTAAAATTAAATTTTTAAATGTGATATCAACTTTGTTGTTAATATTTTCCAAAATAAATCC